TTCTACATCTCTAGATCTTCTAGAAACTCTCCACAAACTTCTATTATGTTTTGAAAGAATCTAGAGGAATCCACTTAGTTTCAGAGACTTGCACACTTTTCTAGAAGACTCTAGAATATTCTAGAAACTTCTATATTTTTCTACACAATTCTAGAGACTTGTATACTTTTCTAGAAAATATTATAGAAAATTTAACATATCTCCACCATGTTTTAGAATTCTCTAGAATCTTCTTTCTCAGTTGCTATTCATAAAGTTGGTATCGTAGATGGTTTTTCCTCCTTAGCGAAGAATATGACTTTTGAGGAATCACAGTCACTTTTCAAGAAGAAATAGTTCGACCAGGGTTGTCCTGCAAGAAGTAGATAATTTCTCAATGTGCAAGCAAATTTTTAAAAAAATGACGTTCAAAATGTTCGAAAAGAATGACGTTCATCGTGTTCGTTTGAATTCAATGAAGGTTTGAAAAAATGGCGTTCTTTTACTCGACTGATTATTCGGCGAATTCAAAAAGAGTGGCGTCTCTGTCAAAGAAGAAGAAAAATCATTTCTTGAAGTGTTCAGATGACATTTGAACAAAGATTGTCTAATTATGTGTTTTCCAATATGGGTACTCGTACCACGCTCTAGCTTCAGAGGGAGGGGTGTTATGAAAGACATATGCAGAAAAGGGAACTGAATCCCTTTGAGATTTAGTTTGGCGACTTTCCTATTTCAATATAATTCTTGTTATAGAAGAAATACAATTAATGCTAGGAATAGAAGTTACTTATTCACTTTACCTCTTTCTATATAAAGAGGGTTGTGTTGTTGTCCCTTTGTAATCTCCAAGACAATTCAATACAAAAATATTTTTCTGTTATTATTTTCTACTACACTTTGCATCATCCAAAAATCTCAGTTTTTCTGTGTAGTGCCGCTACTCCTCCTCTGCATGACTCTTCCATCCAAGATGCAAATGTTCTCATTTTTTCATCCTCACATGATCAAGCATCTCCCCTTGAACACCTTGCACAACTTACTCGTGCTAGAGAGCTTACACCCTTCTAATGTTATTGCACTCAATGATATGACATTAGTATTGCTAGTAGGCACGTACCTCACATTATGAAGAATGTAGCTTGTACCATTGGGATGATTCATCCTCACACTTCCAGTGCCTTTGACTTTTAATTTCTTGCCATGAGCCAAGTTGAAGTGACAAAATTCTCCACCAATCTTCACGGTGCGAACAAAGTCTGATCTTGGCATATATGCATCGAGGGAGCACTATCCATCACCCGCTCAGACTTAGCAACCTCAACACTCGTTGCTAAGTAGACATCCCCATCACTGACCATATTAGTGTGGGAGTCGCCATCACCCTTTCTTTGTAGTATTTCTCTCAACTTCTTGAAGTCCTCCCTCATTTGAGGATATTTTACCTGCACGAGACCCTTCTCTCTTCAATAATAGCATTCTATGTCACTTAGATATCGATGTACTTGTGACTTTGATCTCCCCTTAGGATCATCATGCCTCCTCGGTGAGTTCTTCCCCTCGCTCACACTTCCTTGCAACTAGTATGTGATTAAATCTTGTGTTGGTAGTGTCAAACCTCATCATCCTCTCGCTCTCACGTAAAGTAGTAGTCAACTCATCAAGTGTGAGAGTTGTTCGTCCTACAAGTAACATCTGCACCAATAGCTTTTAAGAATTCTCCAATGACGCTAAAAACTACAAAAACACTTGTTCCTCATCTTTAATCTTATAAAAATTCATCAATTGACATACTAGTTGATTAGACATGTTGATGTGGTCATGAAGATTACATCTCTATCTTCAAACACACAAACACAGTTGGTTAGTCAATTACTTTAACGCGTAGATGCTCTCGAGCTTATCCCACAATGTGTTTGATGTGGTCTCCTTCAACACGCTAAACTTAATCTTGGGAGCAAGTGTCAACTGGATGATACTAGCAGCTTTCCTCTGAATTTAAGTCAATTCACTCTCACTCATGGAGGATGGCTTCTTCTCCTCTAGTGCTTGATAAAGACGTTGCTTCCCTAATAGGTCTTATTGAATTGTACTCTGCCACAATGTAAAATTTATTTTCCCATCAAGAAGTGGAATCTCGAACATCTTTCGCTTTTATGCTTCCATAACGCGACCACGAGGTCTTTGAAACACATTCTATCGGTATCTCTAGCTCTTTGAACCTTGGCTTTGATGCCACTATTGGAGAACTGATACGTGTTTCAACCTCTTTTCCTGATTTACACAACCACCTTCTTGTACACTCACGCACACACTCAATAACACAAAGGCACAACTTCATCAAACAACTTTGTATTATATAGAGAAATGTACAAGTTAAATTATAACTACACGGGTATCACACTTACTCTTTGTATCGAGAATACTTCTATAAACCTAACTCACAAGCACTCTCAAAAAGCCCTCTTGGTTTTTCACTCTTTTGAATTGCCAAATGAGCCATCTACAATCCTATATATACTCATCATCACGAAGGGTACTATAGGTTTATCTAGAATACTCCACACAGTTTTATATCCCTAGAATTCTCTAACAGTATCTAAAAACTTTTATAATGTTCTAGAAGAATATAGAGGGCCCATTTGTTCTAGAGACTTTCACAATTCTCTAGAAGACTCTAGGATATCCTAAAAATTAAACTTCTACATTCTTCTACACAATTTTAGAGATTTGTACACTTATCTAGAAAATTCTACAACATTCGAGAGAATTGTACACATCTTCACCATGCTCTAGAATTCTCTAGAATCTTTTCTTTGACAACTTTTTGAAAATATTGAATTAATATATGCTAACAATTTGTCTATAGTATTCACTTTATTTAAGAGCAACTTTAACTAAATACAAATATGAGTTGTTTAGTTCTCTAAATATGGGGTATTAATAACAAATTCATGTGAAGTATATAGTAGAGCACCCATTTTATTAGAGAAAAAGATTAAAATAAGACTAAAATATTGAAAATATATCTAAATAAAAGTTTCATATTTTTATTTTTGAAGTAGGAGTTAAAATACATACACAGTGTCAATCATGACCACAGTGCAAACTCCTATTTTGGGGATAAAATATCGAGCTCCTTTTTATATAATTTTCTATGTTTTACTCTTATTTAGAGTGATTTTTTATATTTTACTTTAAGAATAATTATTTAGTAAATCAATTGTATTTTAGTAATAGGAAATATACAGAATATTAATAATTAATTACTTTGCTTATTCTTTTATTTCCTTATTGTATTGTTACTATAATTCTTCTATTACTTGGATTGGAACGCTCTCTTGTAATCCGGAAGAGATATCCTTTATTATTCAATAAGACAAATTATTATCGAATTGTATCACTTACTTCAAAGTAATTTATCAAACAATGCTAATAAGGGTGATTTTTTTTTAATTTTCTTAACTAATATACGGGTCGGGTCAAACGTGGGAAAAAATTATTGAAGAGAAAGAGTTTTTTGTTGTTTAGGTTCTAATTTTATGTAACAAAGTGAACTTATCTGCACGTCCAGTGTGTGTGTGTGGACAGCATGGTTTACCTAATTGATATAAATGGAATTAAAATCTTTATAGAACAAGTTGGTTGGACAATGCAACACTTGTGGTCCACAATACATTCAATAGCACTAATTTTGCGATGCACAATGCACGCGGCACGTAATATATGTGAAGTTAAATTAAAATATAAATATGCAAGCTCATTTTTTCTTTCAAAAAAGAAAGAAGAAGAAAAAAGAGATCGATTGAACAACTCATAAATTCATATTCACATGAACTTGTGTCGGATCATGCCATAACCCATATACCCCATATTGAAGAATATTAAGTACTAGACATGACAAATCAGTCGGTCAGATTCGGGTTTGGTAATTTCACGTTTGGATTATATCAGGTTTGGATAATTCAAGTTCGGGTTGAGAATTACATGGTCATGCTCCAATGTTATCGGATGCGGACTAACCCAGCATAGAAGAGTATTATTTTGCACTAAAAAATAATAAAACATCAAAATACATATATACATTAATAGTCCAAGGATATTTTAATTTGAACTTTTAATCACTTTTTAAACATATTTAACAATATTATGAATAATATACAAAATTAAGTGTGTACCACTTTTAAAAAAGTAAGGAGTATAACACAATTATGTGATATCATTAAAAGACTTTCTACAAATAGAAGTAAAATTTATACACTAAAATGAGGAATAAGAGAAAAATAAAACGTAACTTTAGTTTTAACGCATTATTTTTCATGAAAAACTTTTAAGTTAGCTGGTCAATCAGGTCAGGTTCGGGTTCGATCAGGTTTGACGCATCTTTAATGGGTCATTCAATTTCAAGTTCAGTCATCTTCGAGTTCGGCCAATAAAACCTTTTTTCCAAAATCCATTATTTTTAGGGTTGGGTCTTCTGTCAAAAACAGATCGGGTCAATTTTTGCCAGACCTATTTTAACACAGGTACTCTTTGTTGATAAGAATTACTAATAATATGTTTAAACAAGAAATAAATATAGGGTGTTGCTAAATCACTATTTAAATGACTATGTTTACATCTTTCACCTAATTTTGCTAAATTCACATCAAAAGTATTAAAATAAAATTAATAACGGTGCGAGTTTAGTAAAATTGTGGCAAAAGGTATATATATGTTAGGCCCCCACTGCAAACAAATGGAAAGAAAAGAAAAGAGAGCACACAAATTTTTAACGTGGTTCGGCACCTCAAGACCTACTCCACGACCCCCTCTGAGATAAAATCTCACTAGTAATTTTTGCACGGAAAAATTACAAACCCTCTCCAATATTTGACACTCACAACCTAAAATCTAACACATAATTATATAGATTGAAGGATTGTGTTGTGTGATGGAAGCCTATATCTCCTCTTTATTTATAGGCTCCAATCCCTCCTCAATTTTCCTATCCCACCGATGTGGGACTTTGAAGTAACACTCAACAAATCTCCCCTTAATTCAAAGTCCTACATCATTTGTGATTTCTGCAGCGATACTCCCATCCTGCAGAATCTTCTGTCCAGCAGTACTCTTATCTCCAGAAGAGATCATCTTCATAAGTGATCACATTTGCGGAAGAAGCTTCCTTCGATTTGCCCTTCTTCTCCTTTAGGATCTGCAAGTCCTCCTTGAGTTCTGGATAACCGTTCTTCGTGTGACCCAACTTTTCACAGTAATAGCACCTAACAGTGCTCATGTCTCTCAGCTGAGATCTTCTCCAAAGTTGGTCACTCTTCTTCTTCCTCTCTTTCTCAACACTCACAGCAGCTAGTAAATGACTGTCCCCGGAAGACTCTTCACCTCCCATCATCCTTTGACTCTCCTTCAAGGCAGCCGTCACCTCATCTAGTCGCAGTGTAGTCCTTCCTGCTATCATTGACTGCACAAACGGCTTAAAGGATTTTGGTAGTGAAGCCAGTAGAAGCAGCCCTTGCTCTTCATCCTTGATAGTCTCCCCTGCATTTAACAGCCTTGATACTTGCTCATTAAACTTGTTGATGTGATCAATTACGCTACCTCCCTCTTCCATCTTCAGTGAGTACAAGTCCATCCTCATCATCAACCGGTTAGTAAGTGTCTTCGACGCAAACTTGCTCTCCAACGTTTCNTCATCTTGCAATGCTAAATCAAGACCTTGCTGGACCAAATAGTCTTGAATCGTGCATTGCCACAACATGAAGTCCGCTCTTCCATCAAATAACGGAACTTCAAACTTCAAGGTAGTCATAGTTCCACTCAAGCAGCAATCAACCAATACCAAACAATCCAAATTTGAGGAAACTGGCCTCAAAAATGGAATCAGGACGTCAAAATTAGTCAGAACCAACTTCTCTCCGAAAGTCACCAGCGGGACCCACACGATGACTGGACCTACTGATGTAGTGCTGACTGGATGATGACGTGGCACTCGGACCCACGGACTGCTGACATGGCACTCACGTACCCACCTCTGCTGACTGGACCACCACCTCCTCCACTGAAGTGGCACGCCCTCCTCTTGCTCCTTGCTCTATCTCCTTCCTCCCTAGACTGCAACTCTGTAATTAATAATTCTTTTCTGATGTGGAAGATCAGTCAAAGCTGCAACCACAGAGCATACTAAGAATTATAATTACCAGATCACCCGAGCTCTGCACCTTGGCTCTGATACCACTTGTTAGGCCCCCACTGCAAACAAATGGAAAGAAAAGAAAAGAGAGCACACAAATTTTTAACGTGGTTCGGCACCTCAAGACCTACTCCACGACCCCCTCTGAGATAAAATCTCACTAGTAATTTTTGCACGGAAAAATTACAAACCCTCTCCAATATTTGACACTCACAACCTAAAATCTAATACATAATTATATAGATTGAAGGATTGTGTTGTGTGATGGAAGCCTATATCTCCTCTTTATTTATAGGCTCCAATCCCTCCTCAATTTTCCTATCCCACCGATGTGGGACTTTGAAGTAACACTCAACAATATATAGCCATTTTGAGGATACATTAACAACATCCTTAATTTATTAGGGAGTATATATATCTTACAGGAGTTTCTTGCGCAATTTACGCCTAAACTTTTTAAATATTGCATGGATTCACCTTAAACTTTAAAAATTACACCAATTTCCTCCTGAAATTTTTAAAATGTTGCAACAATGATCTCTCTGTGTCAGATTTAGGAACGTGTTAGTCACATGTTCATCAAAATACGTGTTGGATCAGAGCTTGATTAAAATGTAATGGATTGATGAGCATGTTGATGAATTGATGATGAGCTTTATTGACTTATGTCTAACCTTCAAATTTGATTCCTGACGACTAAATCGAGAATAATTATTTAAGATTTAAAAATGTTAAAAATATACCCGGAGTAGAAGATAATATTTGAGAAGATCATATTGAAGAACCAACTTTAGGTAATCTATATTTTTGTTGGATGAGCGTGTGATTAATGCAATCTCAAATCTGTGCAGGAGAACCATTGATGTAATATTTTTAAAATTTCGGGAGGTATTGGTATAACTTTTAAAGTTCAAGAGAAATTCGAATAATTTTTGAAAAATTAACGATTAATGGAGCAAAAAACTCATCTTTAAAGTACCACTTGAATTTTTTTAGTCTATTTCAAGACTATAAGGCCCCATTTGGTACAAGGAATTCAAATTCCATAGATTTTCAATTCAATTTAAATTCCAATTTCGTATACTAAACGGATCCTTAGGTCCCGTTTGGTACATGAAATTCAAACTATGAAATTGGAATTGAAGACTTCAATTTCAATTCTGGCGTTTGGTATTACAAATATTATGTGGATTTGGAATTGATAGTGCAAAAAATGAATTTGAATTGGTGAATTCAATTCTATGGAATTGAATCTCATGGAATCCCAATTCCAATTCAATTCCAATTCCACCAATTCCGTATACCAAACGGACCCTAGAATTGAATTCTGTGGAATTGAATTGGAATTGAAATTCCATGGGATTCAATTCCATAGAATTGAATTCTATCAATTTCAGTTTATTTTTTGTACTATCAATTCCAAATCCACATAATTTTTGTGCTACCAAACACAAGAATTGAAATTGAAGTCCTCAATTCCAATTTTATAGTTTGAATTCCATGTACAAAACGGGACCTAAAGATCCGTTTAGTATACGGAATTGGAATTTAAATAGAATTGAAAATCTATGAGATTCAATTCTATAGAATTGAATGCTACCATAGTCTAAATTGGTAAAATCTATGGCGTTGGTAGCATGACTCAATAAAGATATTTCTTGGATCAAGGACAGGACCAAATATACAATAAGGATCGGAAAGCAACTGGTAAAACTCGAACTAGACCCAGATTGGGTAAAAACCATTTTTTTCTAAAATTTTATTTCATCTATTTTACTTAGAGTGTTCAATTGCACAAATGTAATATACCTCTTCCGTCTCATAAACTTCTTCAAGTTTTTAGTTTGGGGAATTTACGTAAATAATACTAAAACATAACGACTTAAGTTATTTTTCTAAATAATACTAAAACATAATGACTTTAGTTTGGAAAATTCCCTAAATAGCAATTAATAATGTGCATAATGTCCAGTGATGACGAAAATTTAATTTACTTGAATAATGACTAATGAATAATGACTAAAAGTGCTACATTGGAAAAAACATATGTGATGCTATTTTGAAAAAGTCATCATGTTTGAGTGCTATTTATGTAAATTTCTTTATTAGAAAGTACCCTTTATCACTATTTTTTTTTTCTGGATCCACCATTGTTTCAAAAAAAATATGAGAACTCATCCCTCGCTAAACAAGTCCTTAGGGTGTTGCGTGTTTTAATTTGCATTAATCTTCATACCATATACTCCGTACATAAGAGGGATTCCTAATTAATTTGTCTCCAAAAGACTAGAAAGGGTAAGTAGTTGCATCTACTCTCTAAGAATTTGCAAAATAACACGGTTAAAATGTGGGGGTTCTTCCACTCCTGTTTTTTAGTCCCATTATTGGGATTGGTGGTAAAACTACTGGTAAAAACCACTGGTAAAAACCACTTAGCTTCCATTTTATATATATATATATATATATATATATATATATATATATATATATATATATATATATATATATATATATATATATATATATATATATATATATATATATATATATATATATATATATATTCTAGGGATAAAGACCAAAGTAGGACTAAAACATTGATAATATACCAAAATATGATTTCCATGTTTTTATTCCCGAAATAGGACTTACATTACCAAACATGGTCATATACATTACCAAGAAAGTATAGTAGTTTGCACATGTACACTGCAACATTACCACAATGCAAAGTCCCATTACCACAGTGCAAAGTCCTATCCCAGAAAAAAAACATGAAAGTCTTATTTTGGTACTTTTTTTTATGTTTTAGTCCTATTTAGGATGATTTCTATATTTTCTATCATGTTCCCTATAAAAAACACTCCCTCCTCCCACTCCTTCATCTATCTCTTCTCATTCCCATACACTCTTAACTCTTCCTCTTCCTTCTTCATTCCCACTAAAATAAAATCTATACATATATAAAAATACAGTATATACATAAACCATGCCAGTTAAATTCTTCTGCCTATATGAATGCATTCTTGATTGATTCTATATATATATATATATATATATATATATATATATATATATATATATATATATATATATATATATGAAAAACCCTATTTGGCCTGGTGGTATATTATGACTCTCTTTATATTCTTCCACAGCTTTCTTGAACTGCATCATCATATCGATCGTTCTCTCTTTGATTGCGGTTCAATGAAGCTGTGGGAAGATACATATAGGGTCAAGAAAAATAAATTTCTCAAGCTAAGGTTTGGATCTTTTTTTTGTGCATGTTTTTTTGATTCAATGTGAATTCTCTTTCTTCCGATCTATGTTTTGGTTTGCCAAATATTACCTCGGGTATTTGTTAGTTTGACTTTTTTGAGTCAAAGTTATGTTGTACTCCCTCCGTTCTCAAAAACTCTTCCAACAAAACACTTCCACTTTCTATTAAAAACTACTTTTACTCTTACTTTTTCATACCCTACCTATTACATCATACTTTTTCTCTAATACTCAATCCATCACATCTTACTTTTACTCATCACATCAAGGGCAAAATTGGAAGTCAACTACAATTTAACACTTCCTTATTTTTACACAAAGTTAAAATAGGAACACTTTTAAAAAACGGAGGGAGTACTATATTTATACGACAAAATAATTTTATTTGATATATATATCTTGTGTAAAACATTCAGAAATTTTAGTTTTCATTGTATTAATATATAATTTAAATTTTAAATAATTGATCGTTTTGAAATAATTTATGTTCTTTTTCATTATGTTTTTACAAGCGTTTTTTTTTAATTATATTTTTTATATTTTAATTCTACTGCCCATCAATCTCATAAAAACTTTTTGCGTTTTCTTGACGTTCCAAATATTTTTTACTTTAATTTTTTTAAAAAAAGAAGAAACATGTAGTTCAAAAAGATTTTCTCGTATAAAGATCGAATTTATTTGACAGAGAGGATATTGATTGTTGAGTTCAATTCAATATTAGTTAGATCTTTTCATTTAATTTCTTAAATGGAAATACATTTCACGTGCATATTATAGATCTTTGATTCACAAGGAGTATATACTCAGAGGTGAATGGTGGATCCACCCTAAGTTTTTTTTTTTGTCTAATTTTATTTTATTTTTTTTGCAGTCCACTTTCAACATTTGATCAGCATTTGATCAACATTAAACCCGTATTCAATTCTAAGACCGGAGACCGGTTTGAATTTAAGGATTTTCCCGTCTAGCCAAAACTAATTTTTCGGTCTAGTCTGGTCCAGTTTTCCTGTCAGATTCAAATTTTTTTGTGTGTTATTGACACAGTTACTATGTAGTATTAGCTCTTACATTTTTCAACCTAATAATGCAAAAAGAGTCAATGTCTTCACCTTCGCTAGGGTTCGAACCTAGGTGAGTCTTCCAATGAATCCTGGGTAATGAACTTTAATTTGCACTCTAACCTATATTCTCTACAACCTGTGACGACATTTTAAACAAATATAGTTTTAAAAAATGTCAGAATGGGAAGGGAATATAGAAGGGAGTTTGGTAGTTTAGGCTATATTTTGAAAAAACAAGAAAATTTATGTCCATTTAGCCCTAATAAAAATATTTTTTGGGACAAGTTTTCCAGAATGGAGAAAGGATATTCTTTTGGTGTAAACCATGAGGTTCTCCTCTTCTCGTAGAAGAGGAGAATACCTCATAGTTCACGCGGATTATTTATTTTTTAGCTCGGG